AGATGAATGGCTCAGTCCTACGCCCACCTTGAAGATTAAAGTTCATATATATATATATAACATGGTTATTTAAACAGTTCATGGCGACTAGAATGGTTTAGTCATATGCCCAAAGAAGAACGAAGTAGTTGTGCCCTCTGTTTTGTGTATACTTTGGCTAAGTTGGGCTCATTCCATAAGTTTGGGTGACCCGACTTTAGGCCTGGCTAAGGTAAGGTTCATTCCATAAGTTTGGGCGTGCTCATCTTATACCTATGTAAGTTGGGTATGAAGGGTTAAATCATTGAAAGATTATGAACTATTGTTTGTTCATGATGACTTAGGAAGGTGAGAGTTCTTACCTTTGTGGTGTGGCCTGTATGTGACTAAGTGAAGCTACTACTTGGTCTGAGTTTCAGTTTGATAGGTAGTTGCTTTAGTCGCTCACCACGTGTTGAGCCATAGGAGTTGGTCTCAATTCCTGCATTTTCTGAGCTAAGTTTTTTTACTTAGATCAATTCTCGCATCTTATAAGATTTTTTGTTATACTTGGTTTTTATAAATTTTGGTAAGCCACTTTCTCTACGGGAAGCGCTGCTGAAATTTATGCAAATCCAAGGAGTTTGTCAAACTTTGACTTTTCCAAGTTCGACTTGTCTAAAGTTCCTACATGGCTTTGTAAAAATCTGGAAAGTCTCTCTTTCTAGAGGAAGTGCTGCCCAAATTTTTGCTAATTCAGGGAGTTAGACAAAATTGAACTTTGGAAAGTCGAAGACTACTTCTGATATTTATATTTAGGTTAATATAAAATTCTAGAAAGACACTCTTCCTACGGAAAGCGCTGCCAAAATTTTGTTAGTTTAAAGGAGATAAATTATATTTTGACAGGTGGCGATTCTGGCGATCCACTCTGTATAGGGGATATTATGCCAGGATCTACGAGTGGCCTGCGCTGCATCATCATGTAGACAGCGTGGCCACTGCCACGTCGGCAGTAAAACCGGCGGCAGTGTCACCGCAGCAGATACGAGTGCCCTGCGCTGCATCATCATGTAGACAGTGTGGCCAATACCACGTCAGCAGTAGAAACAGGCGGCAGTGCCACCACAGCTAAGACAGATGGCATGCGCCACGTCAACAAAGTATACAGGCAGCAGTGCCACATCAGCAAATGCAGGCAGTATGGTCTGTGCCGCATCAACAAATACAGACAAGTGGCAAATGCCGGGTCAGCAGCAGACAGGCGGAAGTGTCACAACAGCAGTGTAGACCAGTGGCAGGCCACAGCAGCAGTATGAACGACTGGCCTGAGCCGCACCAACATGTGGACAATGTGGCCAATGTCGCGTCAGCAACAGACAGGCGGCATGCACGACATCGACGATGTAGATCAATGGCAGCGTCACGCCAGCGATGCCTGGCGCACATAACAGACAGCACCAGCATGCTGGTAAAGTCGTGCGCCGTCCGCAGTACCAGCGCACAGCCAGCGTCAAGTCGGCGTCAAGGTAACATAATAAGACTGAGTGTTGATCACTCGGAGGCTAACCTTATGCAGCGGACGACAAGGCTGACTAGTCTCAAGTCCCCTCCCACAGTCGTACGGATTGACTCACAACTGGGGGCTTGAATTGTGTACAGTTGCTGACTTCTCCTTGATCCTGCAGCTGTTTGGGTACCTGCATACAGACAGACATACAAAAACAGACCAACCGGTGCATAAAGGCAAACAAACATACAAACAGACAAAATTGACAGATACGAACAAACAAACAAACCGACACAAACAGACACAGACAGAGACAGATAAACAGATAAAAAGATATACAGACCAACAGACAGACACAAAGGAAGGGACATATAGAGAAAAGAGGGGGAGAGACGGAGGGAAAGGAAATAAAGAAACTTACCTCGTCTCCGCCAACTGTCAACCTTGAGTGCAACGTGCATTGTTTTTATATTATTATTATTATTATTATTACTGTGACGGATGAGTCCTCGCGGGGCCCTTATCAGACATGCACGTGTTCTGAGCAGCGGCCCTACACAAGCCTCGTGCCCACCCTAAGTGAGGGCGGGCCTGAGTATCCATGAGAGGGGCTTGTCGCAGCGTCTTCTAACGTGGGTCTCGGACCGTTGTTGCACGCCTGTTGGTTACAAAGCAGCGTGAGCCTTTGCTGGCTTCCCCCAGAAGCAACAGCTACGCTGCATAGTTATGCTCACAGCCCCGGATGGTTGCGCCCTGGGCACACACACACTCATTGTGAGACCGGCACATCACTAAGTAACCGCGGGCGACTGAGAATGCGGCATTATCGACACATCCGCCCCGCAGGCCGATGAAGACATCGCCAACGTTCCGAGCCTGGGTAAATCTGAGTATGCCCACCTGCAAAGGAACAGGGCCATCAACTGTAGATATGGGCTTGGACGCAGGCACTGGGGCCCGACCGGAAGCTAGTTACTACTTCCTCGGCCACACCCAAATATTCTAACTACAAGAGCACCTCCCATATCGGGAGGGAGCCAGCCATTCCAAGACATTCTGGCTTAGATAAGCAAGGCGGACGCGCTGCTGCAACACTGCGCAGGTATATGCATGCGCCAACTCTGGCTGGGGCTCACTCGTAGGCGTTGAGTGGTGTGAGGCACAACAACACAACAGGGCGATAGGAGCCATAGACGGACTGCAACGAGCTAGGTAGAAAAGAGCGGCATCGAATACCGCAAGGATATAACCTGAAGGGTTTGAATGTTGGCATTCTCATTTGAATGGAATCTTGGTACATTTCAACTCTCCGTTAGTTACATGACTATTTGGACTTCTGCATGTTTAATTGCAACTTAGTCCGCTGTGTACCGCGCTTACTCATATTACTTGCATTATTATTATTATTATTATTATTATTATTATTATTATTATTATTATTTTTATTATTATTATTATTATTATTATTATTATTATTATTTTATTATTATTATTATTATTATTATTATTATTATTATTATTGTTTTTACTTCATTACCTATACGTTTGTTGTAGGCTGATTGCTGACACAATAAAACATGTGTATGTGAACCCCATACCTAGTTAGAGTCACTGCCTCGGTTCGCGCACGCTGGCCTAGAGCAAGGGTGAGTGCAAATAGATTGATATATGGATGTAGAACGGGTGACAGGATAAGGCTCCAGGGTAAGGAACATCCTATTACTCGTCGCTACGTGTGTACATATCTTAGATAGTTAGTTTGACAGACTGAACACGGGGTACTCATGTGCGGGTCATCCCATGGTCTGTCTCGTTAGACTAAAAACAAGTGGTAGGATACTCATGTCTGAGTTATCCTACTGCTTGAGTAAGTATGAGATGAAGGCTTCTGTTGGAGTCTTCTTACTTCATACTTACATTTGATCGGACTATATTATAGTCCACCGATAAAATTGAAGTTCACATCGCTGAACTTCGTGTAGAGCGATAGTGAGGGAGGTATTGAGACTCTGTGACCTGTGTGATTGCAGGTCATCTTACTCAAGAAGACTGATTATGAGTCTATGCAAGACTGCATGCTGTTGCCTTATGGTAACAGGTTGGCTTACCAACTCAACCTTCACTCACCCTCTACACCCACACTTTGCATCTACCTCTGCACTAGACGACATTTTGATTTTCGGGTCAGCATCTGAAGGGTCTAAGTTTGATAAAAGAGGTCCTTAAATAACTGAGTCGAGAAGGGAATGTCTGGCTAAGGGGTTTGAAAGCGTAAGTGTAATGTGTGTGAGAGTGAATGAATGGTTGACTCTGCTAGGATTGTGTAATGTGATTGACACTAGTTTGCAGGCCAGTAAGACGACCAACCACGTGCTATTCACTCAACTCGCATTTGCTTATGCTTACCTGAGCCTCGACTCAGACATTTCGTCGACTCGTAACCTTTGTATATTTTGGTTTGGGTTTTCGACCTTTACCCCTTTGATGTTGAATAAATTAGGATAATTGGCAAAGGCGAAAGAGCCTTATTTATATCCTGTTTCTTTGAAAGACCATGAGCCTATCTTTTATTTTTGATGCATACTTGACAGGCCATGAACCTATTTTTATCTGTGATGTTTGCTGAAAAGCCAAGAGCGTATTGATTGTTTCTATTTCAAAGTCAAAGCTCTGTTCTTCTGATGTTTGCCTATATTTGTGTAAAAATGTAAAAGACATCTCCTTGCCTTTTCAGCCTCAACCTTTGAAATGTATTCATCATGTATGTTTCGATTTGAAAGAATTTTATATAACATATATAACGTATGAGTTAAGCTCAGATATAATAGAATTTGGTATGCGCGAAAGATCATCAGTCGAGTCGACCTGAATTGTAAGTCGGTCCGGGAGATCAGCACCCCGATGCCCGACACGTAAACGGGTCAGTCTTAGGCGTTCAACCGCGTGTATACCTATGCTACGGCGATCGAGAAAACGCCCTCGGCCGACCTACCTCTACAAAGGCATGTAAAAGCCTTCGCATGTGGGCCGGTAGCTCAATAGGGATACGCCTACGAGAGGGTGGTGACAACCCCTCGGGTAGAGGTGAGTTGTACCTCGCGACGTCCCGACCTGTCGTAGGGCGTCGTGAGAGGTATAGCACGCGCGCACGGTTGGAGTGGTGACTTACTGTTCTTTCAAGGGATAAATCCTGCGTGACACGACCGTGAGGTTCAGCGCTCCCCCTCAGGGCGCGGGACTGCCGCGCGCGACACCGTAGCCTATGAGTCACTTCCTCGTCACTTCCCACTTCTTCTACTCCAATTGGTGGGTCTTCTCTCTCCTGCCATAACCTGAACGTGGCAGGGGGTGGTTGTCGTGCTGCCAGTCTTCGCTGGGGTTCCGCTCTTACTCCGCCAGCCTTCCTATCAATAAACTCTCCGAGTTGATCATAGATGTATCCATTCATGTAAGAGTAGATCAACCCATACGTGTTAATTACCGGCCATGGCCACTGCCCGAACGGGGGAACTGACGCTTGTGATGGACCCGCACTACTCGAAGGTGCCGACGTACGTGGGGAGGCAGCTGCTACTGCTTGGGGTACCTCTGCCCCTTCCCAAAACCTTGCCCCCCTTGTGCTAGGTTGCGCTGCTTGCGCTGCACCTTCGTGAGGTGCGGAGGTACCGACTCCTCTTCTTTCCATCCTTCCTGGGCCGCCTCCTCTGCCACGGCCTCCTTGGCCTTCCCTTGGATTGCCGTTATCACCTTCCTTTGTATTACCGAGTCTAACTCCGTTAGTACGTCGGTGATAATCTTTTTCACCCCCGGTGTCCCAAACGCGGAGGCGTCCCTCTCTTTCCTTTTCTGCCTTTGCAGACGCACCTGGTGCAGCTCCACCTGTTCTAGGCTTCCATCCTCCACCCCTTTGTCGATGGTAGCCCAGGTGAGTTTCGCGTTTCCTCCCCCATGGCTCGTTAGCTTAGAGGCCTCTGACGAGGTGAGCAGCTCCAGGAAGATGGCGCACTGTGCCTCCTCTGATATCCCATGAACTTTCCTCGCCCTTTTCTTGAACTCCTGCAAGAAGGCTCCAATGGTGGTGAAATCATCTTTGTTCATGGCCTCTAGATCTGTCGTGGTCAGCAAGATGTCGCCCAGTCTGTATTTTCTCTGCATCCCTTCCCTGAACTTAGCCCAATTGTGGCTGGCGTTATCAACCACCTTCTGCACTTCCTGATGGTGCCCATGGAGTGCATACCTCATGATTCGTTGGAACTTCACCGTATCCGTCAATCCCACCAGTGCTTGCTCAACCAAGTCCAACTAGTCGGACACCCTTTCTCCTTTGAAGTGAAAGGTGTCAACTTCAAGGACATTATTTGGCGTTCTCTCCCGCTTGTCCATCGCCTCGATGAAATCGTTGAGGGTCAGGACTTTTCCTGAATTGTCGCCTATGCCTCCCGACATTCTGGCAATCTGCTCTTCACTTAACTTTCCTGTTACAAAAAGCGGTAAGAACCAAACTTCACTCAGCACCTTAACCCATCACTATCCCACCGAACTAACCTCTTATCCCTTAGGCACTTTAGACTCAGCCGACACCGTCACTCTCTTCATTCCTAGACTTACTCCTATGAAGTCTATTCTCCCTATGAGCCTTCCACATAATCATATTAGCCATACATATAGCCATACAATCCTCGTATAGTCCAACTTATAGACTTACTTCATATCTTCCTATTCATGCCTGATTTTCTCCTTGCTTTAATACCCGGATGTCGTTCCACAAGGGACAACGGCAGACAATCCGTTATCCCTGGCAACGGTGCCACCTGTCGAGCGCATCGGTTTGACACTACTCAAGGGCAGCGCGGGACCCTCCCGGCCGCGTCACGCAGGAGTTGGTCTAAATCCTCGTTGCGATACATACATGGAGCTTCCACAAGCCGCTTTGGATGAGTGCGCCAGCCATACCTCTCGCTAGCCCCTACGACAAGACAGGGCCTACGCGAGGCACGACTTACCTCCACCTTACGGGAGCTGTCGCCTCCCTTCGGTAGGCGTATCCCCGCCGATTTACCAGTCCACAGTACGAAAGTTGATCAGCATCAATCGCAGAGGTGGACCAGCTGAGGGTGTTTCTCGTTCGTTGTAGCATAGGGGGTACACGCGGTAGTACGCCTCTATCGAACCCGCACGGGAATCAACACCTTGGGGGGCTGAGGTCCCAAGCGCGACTCGTCGCCGGTCGACTAAGACGTATCCCACACGCCACGCGCACACCACTCTAAGGAACATAAATGTAAAACACACCCCTAACATACACACGAAACGACACAACATAACCAACGTGACCACGCTCCTAGTCCCTCGGTAGCCTTCCCATTACTCTCTGATGCGGAAATCGGATAGGAGTCGCGCGCGAGACTTGGTATAAACCCGCGCGGGCGCAGGGCCTTCTCATATCGATCTGCAATGCCAAAGTACGCAGGCATTCGCTAAGATGGTGTACTATGCAGTAACCACAATCATGGGGTCATGGGTAATACACGAGGGTCACCTTCGACACTCAAGTGTTGGCTGACACGCGCCCTGAGGGGTTAATCTCTCGGCGTTAGACAACCGCCATGCGCGGTTGAAGACCACACACCCTCTTTTGCACCCTATGCAGAGTGGGTGGTACACAGGTCCATACCTATGGTGGCAGTTGTTCCTCACTGCCCTGGAGATGAGCTCCACTCCAGGCCCGGACACGAGTCAAGGGGTTTGACGTTGACGGCTGTCACGGACTACAACGTTCAACCATGATAATCCTAAGAAGCAAATGTGGGCTGAACGCCTCCCAGGCCTCGAAATCACAACTTGGGAACTCCCGTTTTGCTCTCGGTTGGCACCACGGCCTACGCCGCTGCCGAACATTTAGGCATACGTATAAATTCATTGGTCCCATAACTATAATCGCCAGGACGACGAAACGTCGCGCGCAAGACTCTGGTATAAAGCTGAGCGGCAGCAGGCCTGCCCTATACCAACCAGCGATGCTAGTTATATGCTATAGTAGTAGTTGTGGCCCCGCGATATTGAATGGTTGAAGGAATCTATCGTGGGGGGTTACCCCTCACGATATTGAACGGCTGAAGGACATACCGTTCAGCCCCCACGGCATCCCTGCCCTCTAGGTTGGGTGTCTCGGCGGGCAGAGTAAATAGGCTATGCGCGAGACGAGACTCCTTCTCTACAGAGCCTAGGGCTTGGGGTGTCTTGGACAAGGACCTGGAACTTTATTTTTCTTGGCTCGGCTGGCCCCGACCATTCCGGATTGTCAGCCGGGCCTCCTTGCCGCTACTGCTCTACTTTTCCCACGGCCTTCTGCGCCGGCGCTTGGTGTATTTTTCCCATCCTAACCCACGGTCCAAATGGCGCCGTCCGCAGGCACCACCGGGCTATTTTTACCGTTTACCCCATTCAATTTATGACTCCTCTGGGGCATCCCAGGTCCTTTCCGAATTTCTCACGACACCCCCGCTCCTTTTCATTTTGTAAGTGATTCTCCATCGACGCCCCGACTTTTTCCTGCTTTTCCGCTAATCTTAGTTCCTCCCGGCTTTTCCGGCTTTGCCCCGGGTGACGTTCCTGTTTTCCCTTGGTCCGTCTGGCGTCCTCGTCGTCCAATTGCCGGCTATTTCGCCAACGTCTTCTGATACTTTGTTCTTCGTGGACTCCTGATATTTGGTTCCGTCGACTGCTCCACAAGCTGCATCTTCTACATTTGCGTATTCGTAGCCGTCTCTCCTGTTTTTGCCATCTTCCCTCATCGTTTTCTACCCGATAGGCCGCTCTCCCCAGACGGCCCGTCTTTTCCGCGTCTCGTCACTGCTCCCGATTTTCTCTGATGTGCAAAAATCGGCCAAATCCAAGTTCTCGAGTGACGGGAATTCATTCGGGACCCACCGGTCCCGACAACGGACATTCATAGTGTCCATCCCAGTCTTCTTGGCCTCTATTCGATTCAACATCTCTCGAAGAACCACGGTAGTGGTCACTTCTCCATCCCCAGCAGAGGAACTAGCACGGCTTCGCTGTGCATTCGGTCCTTTGATCATCCTGTTTAGTTTATTGATTGTACTCCTACTTCTTCCTGAATCTTTTCTCTCTTAGGATTGTGTTTAAAATTGGTTCCCAGTTCCTGCTGTCAGTAAAACTTTCTGGCAGATGGGGCTCGGGAAACCTATCAAACACAATCGGTGTTAAGTCACTAACTACTCTTATCCCTTTTCTCTCTAATTCCCTATTTTCTCGATCAATTATATTACTCACCCAGCTCCGAAAGGCCTCGCGATCCGTCCCTCTCTCTCTCAATGAGGGAACATAGGGTCGGATATCGTATTCACCAGTGTCAAGGAACTTCACTTCAAGGATATACGCTTTCCCATGTGCATGTTTTTCTTCAAGGGATATGCAGCGCTCTACCTTGTAGAAAAAAACTCCTCCACTGGTAAAAGGAACGAGGGCGTCCAGAGCTGCCGTAATTGTTGGGCAGTAACCTGACATTGTCTAGTCCCTAGTGACCCCCATGATCCTTCTTTATCTTCGATCTGTCTAACCCTGTCCTGTGCCTACCAAGTCTTCCAATCCTGAATCGTCAATGTTGACACTGCTCCACTTTCTATGTCTTAAAACAGTATTAAGGATCGGCTCTCAATCCTCACCATTGACGAAGCTATTCGGAATAGGAGGACTTGGGAAATTTTCATACTCAGTAGGCTCCACACTCCAGGTAACCTTCTTACCTTCCTTCTTGAGTTCGTCCATGTACTTGCAGACGTGACTGAGTGCCCACTCGTGACACCCTGTACTCTGCCGCCAGATCTTCCTAGTCACTGAAGTGTATATACGCACGTCGTACTCATCAGTCTCTAGGAAGCGAGTTACTAACATATACACTTTTTCCTCTGCTCCAGGTACGGCTAAGACAGTGTATCTCTCAATCTCATAAGGAAACGCCCCTCCTACTGTGAAGGGCTCTAAATCTCCGAGTAGGCGCTAGATGACCGAGGAATTAATATCTGATAATTCTGTTCCTTCAGCCTTTTCCCAAATATACCTTCTTCCTAGGAAACTAATATACTCCTCAGCCATAACAAGCTTCTTTCCATTGTCAAGTGAGGGAAAACTCAGGAGAAGTTCGTCTTGAACTTCGAGCCTACGTACAAAGGTCTCAAGAAATAGCGTCTTTGGCCGAATAACTAGATCATTCTCTTTTGCCTTACCAACCACGGCAATAGCTTCTAGAAGAGGCGCCCAATCTCTTCTGTCAGCGAAGCTATCCGTAGTCAGAAAATTAGGGAGTCGTTCAAATTGTCTGACTTGTTTCCCCCAAGTCACTTTCTCATGCAAGCTTCGAAGTAACTCCTTTACCCTTGAAAGGTGAATGTACACTCTCCTCAGACACTCTAAATAACCTTCTTCCTCTTTTACTCCTTCCTGAGCATAAACCCTCACATCAATCTCGTCGGTCTTGAGAAATTTGACCACTGGAACATAAAATACTAAACGCCCTTCCTTACAGACGTCGTGTCTCAATATCTCGAATGGACTGTCACTCTCAGTTACTTTATCTATCCATCCCCTACCAAAGGTCTTAGTCACAATTGGCATAAAATTTTCACATTCCAGTATCATTGCCTTGGGCTGCCTCTAGCGCCTCTAGCCAGACTATCTGCAGGACGTTGTCTAGATAGGATGGTCTCATCTCTCGCATGTAGCATCACTCTTCTGCCATCCGAACTCTTGCAATCCCGCAGATACTTAATCTTAGTCTGACCCGTAATTGCTATAAAAGCAGCCGCTCTCATAAGCTCGAGGTAGTGCTTTACCATGTCAATCTCGTCGTGCCTACCTAGCCTAGCATAGCATCCTCTCACAGCCCCGATGACAGTCGCTTGTTGCTCGTCTAAGTAGACCTCAAAGCGAAAGCTCTCTCCATCATTAGGAGTGTAGACAACGATCAACATAACTCACCACACTCGATCCCTTAACACCACGTTGAGGATTGGTCCCCAGTCCTTCCCGTCGCAGAAACTAGCAGGCACAGGAGGACTTGTGAATCTCTCAAACTCTCTAGGTAGGACTCTTCACGTCACTTTCCTTCCTTGTTGTTTCAATAACAATCTTTCATCTAGGATATACTCAGCAACAACTACCCAACACTCCTCATAGTCAATCCCTCTTTTTGTTCCAGCAGATACATACGGCCTTACACAAGGAATCAGACTACAAGGACGTACA